CTTCATTAATTTAATAAAGTTATGATTTATTGAGTATTTATTTATTTAAGTATTTTTTTAGCTTAATAATAAAATATTCGACCAATATTAAACTGTATTGTGGGACAATCATTATGACTGAAATGTAATATTTCTTCAACAAATGCTGATGATACTTAACTGAAGGCAAGTCAAATAAACCCAATAGAGTAAAAATATAATTCTATTAAAAAACTCAAAATTTCTTTACCTCTGACTGTTATTTGAAGAGGATCACAAGCAGCTGTTGCCTTGAATGGTTCTCTCTCTACTCTGAAGAAGTATGTGTCTGTGTATGTGGTGGTTAAATTAGAAAACAGAGTGGTGCAGTCTCTCTGACTCAGGTTCCCAGTAATACTCATTGGATAGATGTTAACTGCTCTATTACTGTTGTAGATCACATTGTTTGGATTATTGTTAAATTGGGATTGATTTTTAATCCACACTCCAATAATTTTTCTTGTGCTGATAAATTTCTGTTCTTCTTTGGGTCTGAAGCTACATGGGATTTGCAAACAAGATCCACTCAGTGCTTCCAGCTTCTTTGATGCATTTATGGAGAGTGCTGCTTCATCAGGACAATCAGCCAAAGCATCTGTAAATACAGTGTCACAACTAACCTATTAATGAATTAATTTTATTACAATCATTAACTTGTTTTATTTTAATTTGTCCTCCATAGGACTTAAGATATAAACTTTAATCAAAGTATTCCTAAAATTAAATAATTTTTAATGTAAAATTAAATTTATAATAGATAATCCAGAAGGGACAGTCACATTTTCACCATCTGCCATTTTTGATTAATAAATTACATAGTTGTTGCTTGAAATACAATCTATTGTAACATAACATGAACAACATGTCTTTGACTCTGTTGGCAACAAAAAGTATTTCAATTACCAGTCAGACTATGAACAGTATGAAAAACAAAGCGTTATCTCCATCAGCCTTTTAATTTTGTTCCTTAAAGCTGTTAATGATTTAAATGAATCCAATGATGCCTTTATAGTCAACAAACAGCTCACCTGAAACAAAGAGGACCATCAGTAACATGCCGACTATCACCATGTTCACACACAGCTCAGGAGAGGTTTTTACAGTGAACATAATTTCTTAACCAGAATTACAGGGGAACACATTGCCTAACTGTTGTTAGAATCAGGAAGCACAGAAGAGGACATACTGTTTAAGAAAGTGCAATGTCAGTTTGCTTGATCGTATTTGCTATAGGTGTTGAGAAATATTCTGCGGAAGTACAATCAGTTTGCTAATATCCTGTGATAGAGGAAGTCAGGCGTTAGAGTTTTAAAGTTTAAAATTACCTGTCAAAATAACCCACACACGCAAATACTTTTCACTAACTTGAGTTATTCCAAGCTTGCAGACTTTTACAGATTTTATAACTCAGAGTATCATACAGCAGGCAAGTAGCTGCACAGATCTTGTGGAGCTATGAAAACACAAGTAATTGAGGAAAATTATAATTTCCTTAAACCTGAAAGTTTTAATCACAACTATAAGTGAGTTTAAACCATTTTGGTGGTGCTAGAGGAAATTTAATTTGAGGACCCTTAAAAATAATTATATTTATAGTAGTAATCACAGAGCATCTTAGTATTATTTACTAACATTGTCATCAAATGTTATATTTTCCTAACTTGTCTACTGACGTCAGTACAGGATAGAACGTCCAGTGTTGTTGATATCATGATGTTATAGTGCTCTCACACAGGGGGGTCATCAATCGCCTAATACAGGGGTGTCCAACTCCAGGCCTCAAGGGCCAGTGTCCTGCAGGTTTAAGATGTGTCCTTGATCCAACACAGCTGATTTAAATGGCCAAATGACCTCCTCAACATGTCTTGAAGTTCTCCAGAGGCCTGAACTAATCATTTGATTCAGGTGTGTTGACCCAGGTTGATATCTAAAATCTGCTTATTTTTATTTGTTCCCCAAATAGTGTTAAAAGCGTTAGCTAATGTATCTTAAATCACTAGAGATTATTAACTAATTTGAACCTTCTGATCCACTAGTCTGCTGTTATATTGCAATTTGCCACCAAGGAGCTGATGTGCTTTAACTAAGCAGTGTGTTGTAAGATTAGGCCTCTGTTTTGATAAAGCTTAGAGTTAGTCCTCATCACATTCATCCACCCAGACCTCAGAGAGCATCTGGGTGGATGATTGGTAGGAGACTTAGGTGGCTGATAGACTTGGCAGGAGCCACTGAGCACGTCTTGTCCACTCCTTTTTCACTTCCCGTTAAGTTCAATTTATATAGTGCCAAATCACAATAACACTCGCCTCAAGATGCTTTATTCTGTAAGGAAAAGACCTTATAATAGAATGAAAGCCCAAACAATTAAACTTTGACAGTGGGAAGGAAAAACTCTCTTTTAACAGGAAGAAACCTCCAGCTTAGGGAGAGGCAGCCATCTGCTGTGACCATTTGGGGTGATGACAGGATAAAGACACTGTGGAAGTAAGCCAGAACTTAATGACTCATAATTAAAGGCAGAGTGGTGTATAAGCACATAGTGAGGGAAAATGTGAGAAGAAACATTTAGCATCTTTGGCTATTGCAACTTAACTGAGGAACAGTGCTGGTCAAGTTACTTGAAAATAGTAAATATTGACTAATTACTTCTCCAAGAAAGTAATCCTGTTACTTCACTGAATATTTTCAAGTTACTTTATTACTTAGTTGCTTTTTAAAAACATGATACACAACTGAGTACATAATAAAGCAGTAGACCTTTTAGCCCAATTCTACCTTTTCTGCATAATCCATCGTCTAAAATTGAATCAAATGAAAAAGTATCTTTTTAAAACTTGTTTTATTACTTTTGACAGACAGACGATCAGATAGATAGATAGATGAAACTTTATTAATCCCTTGGGTGGGTTCCTCCGGTAAATTCAGTTTCCAGTAGCACAGCATCGACAGAAGTTGCATGTTACAGACACAATAAGGGGAATGAGAGTAAGGATATAAGCATAAATATACACATATACATATATATATAAATACAGAATATATAATAT